GCTGAGTGAGTTTACATACATATTACAAACAGAAAGAAAAGGGAAGTCTTTTTTGAGTAGGTACATGTCCGGATATTTAATTTACCGAAAATATGGTGCAAAAAAATGTGCCGGTGCGAACAGATGTACGATATCCAAATTGTCAATCTTTCCTGCAGAAAATAGAGTGGCATCATATATAAACTACTGTTCTGTTGATATCGTATGGACAAGCACAACAAAGCATTTTCTTTATAAAAAAAAAACTGATATAGAATGAAAGATAACAGTCCATGCACCAAGCGCCTATGGTCAGGATGAAAAGCAAACAATAAACAACAAATGATTTACAAAGAATAGTCTAGATATGATAAAGTAATCGTGTGTTCGCTACTATAGCAGAGTATCAGAAACAGGGTCACGTTATTGTATCTAAGAATTAGTAGCCAAGATTCTCTAAGGTAAATTTTGCAAAGTATAGGGAATAACAACTGTACTACAAATCTTTGACAGTCTGATCTATTTATGAACAACTTTTAAATACTAGTCTGTCAACTCTAAGGTTGTGAGTTCGGACCCTGCTCGTGTCTAAGTGCGTTTGACTCCGATCCCAATTGATAATCAGTGCATTTTTTTCTTCTCGAAAGTCGGCGGTTGACTTCAGGATCTCTACTCTCTCCTTCAATTAACACCATTATATGATCAAGAGTGCTGAACGTGGCGTTAAACACCAACGATCAATCGGTCAATTTAAACTCGATTAGATTTAGGGTTTAACTTTAAATTCTAGAAACATCAATGTCAATGTTTATAAAGTGGAAGGCTAAAGATGTTCAAATATATGGGAAATAAAATACAATCGATGAGACATATGTGCACAGACATACGCATGCAACTTTGTCCTGGGATATTGAAAAAAATATCAACTTCCCTCTGAACGGAATTATATCACCGGTGAGTAACATCCAACACCGATGTGCTTTATATCTTGATCTTTTCCTCAATATTGACACCGATGAACGACTTCAAACTAGAATTCATGACAAACGTGATAATTTCAACTTCCCAATTTGTCAACTACCTATTTCTCAGCAGTAACATATTCTCTGTTTCATCATATGGCGTTTACATATCTTATCTAATGCGTTACCATGGTTACGCTCGTGCATGTTCACACTTGATGTACTACCATTACAAGGGTTGTGCTCCCTACTCAAAAACTTCTCCAACAGAGTTATAAAGAAGCACTTCATAAGTTTTACGGTCACCATCACGACTTAGTTAACCGATACGGTGTGTAGGTGTCTTAACTCATTTGCGACATATTTTTACGGTCTTAGATCTTTATAGCTTGCTGTTCGGTGTGAGCCAAGGCTCCGTGTTGAAGGCCGTACCTTGACCTATAATGATTTACTTTTATAAATTGTAACTTGGATGGAGAGTTGTCTCATTTGCACTCATACCACATCTTCTATATCTATTAGATCTTTAGTATAGTCGTCTGATCTGTAATTTTACCGATTTACTAGTTGTCGTATTCTCGATTGTGACATTTTACTGAGTATGATTTCGCATTGTGGGGCATGCATGCATGCATAGCCGGAGACGCTATACCCTGTCGACACAACGTTCTTGTATACTCCTAAAACACACACACACAAACAGGCGGTAAAAATAAACTATGAAATATGCATTGAATTCACACATATGCATTACTAGCAAGTGTACAAGTCTTTCAATATACATACATAAACTAATCATAGATGCGAGGATTAAAATTGAGTACGCCAGACGCGCGTTTCGTCTACAAAAGTCCCATAAATCACGTTCGAATCAAGTTAAAAGACCTAATCAAGTACGTAGTTAAAGAGCATTGTGGACCCAAAATTCCGAAAGATTTGCCAAATACAGCTAGGGTAATCTATTCCTGAGGAAGAAAATCCTTAATATTTTTGGAAAAATTCAAACGTTTGTAAACAGTTAATTTAAAGAAATGACCCTACCAATGATAATTCATGTCAACAAAGAAATGCTGACTACTGGTCTGATATTACCTTCGGGGAGGAAACCTCCACCAGCAGTGACGTCGACCCAGTGGTCGTAAATAATCTCATCATAGATACGAGGCTTTAAATTGTACGCCAGACGGGCGTTAATTCTACAATCGTCTCATACATATATCAGACATTGGTTTTCAAACGTTTGGTCTTAATCGTTTCTCAGGAAGGTAAAAAGCATCCCATTCGATGTATGTATGTATGTATATATTTAAGTGTGTGCGTAAGCGTCTGTATAGTTTTTAAGCCCCCCCCCCCCCCCCCCCCCCCCCCGTGACAAAATAGGGGGGGGGTATAAATTTACCCCTGTCCGTCCGTCTGTTCGTCCGTAAGATGCATTGTTTGTCCGGCTATCTCCTACAGTTTTGGAGGTACAACTTTAATATTTTGTAGGATGTTCATACCCATAATAAAGGTGTGCATGGCCACAGGATTTTGATTTCTTCCAAATATTGTGACAATTATAGCTGATCACAGCTGTAGTTGCCTAAGTTGGACTTGGTCATTTTCTTGGTACTACAGCTGCAAATAGAGATCTTGGTTCAGAGGCGGATTTAGAGTTTTTTTAAGGGGTCCCGGACCACTCCCCCTTTTTTGTTTGAAAAATTTGGTTGATTATATAAGGAATCACTGAAGCATGACTGAAACGGGCCCCCTCTTAGGCAGTCAGTGCCCCCCCCCCCCCCCCACCCCCCCTTTTTATGAAAATTTCTGGATCCGCCACTGTGGTTTGTCCAGCTATCTCCTCCTACAGATAAATCATCATATATTTTGTAAAATTTATAATTTCCTATCGTTTGTGTCTTATAGACATGCACAATAACGATCATGTGTAAATTCACTAATCCCACCATATTCTATAATTGCCTACTCTAAGTCAGGAGCCTATAATTCATTGCTGTCTGCCATATTTGATTTTCATTTATTGTTTTGTATTTAATTAGGGCATTTCTGTTTTTTGTTTGCATGGACACACATTTGGTCATCTTTTTAGCCAATTATAACTGACTACAGTATAGGTTTTGCTCATTTTTGAAGGTTGTATGGTGACCTATTGTTGCTTACACCCCTAGTCATTTGGATTCTGTCAGCTACTGGTAGTTGTTTCTATTGGCAATCATACCACATCTCCTTATTTTATACAAAAGTCTAAATAGGGTTTTTGGGTCTTTCATTCAATGTCATTTCTGTATTGTTCAAAATTTTAGGTCATTTTTTCTGTATACTATTCTTCATATTTTTCCCCATCATTTTTCAATCACTCAATACAACACTCCATTATTCTATATTCTCCATTTTATTGTTCTTGTCTTTATTTTTTAATACGCCCGTTTTTGGTTTGGTTGATAAAAGCCGAAGATTTTATTATTGATAATAATCGGTGGGCTCTTGATTAAAAGCCGAAGATTTTATAATATAATAATCGGCGGTAAATTTTTAAAAGCCGAAGATTTTGACATTGAAAGTAATCGGCGGGGTCTTTATTTTTAAAAGCCGACGATTATAGAATTGATAATAATCGGCGGGATTCTAAAAGCCGAAGATTTATTTAAATCCATGTATTTCTAAGGGAAAAATAATAATGATCGGGGGGTTCACTGTGGCTTTCCATACATTCGGTACATTTTACTTTAAATTACTCTGTAAACTAGCCAATGAATGACTGCAATGTATGTATTGGAGGGGTATGATGTGATATGCTTATCTAAATCTTGTTCAAAAAGGTCATGGTCATCACTTTATATCTTTATATGGATATAAGAAGATGTGGTATGAGTGCCAATGAGACAACTCTCCATCCAAGTCAAAATTTATAAAAGTAAACCATTATAGGTCACAGTACGGTCTTCAACACGGAGCCTTGGCTCACACCGAACAGTAAGCTATAAAGGGCCCCAAAAATTACTAGTGTAAAACCATTCAAACGGGAAAACCAACGGTCTAATCTATATAAAAAACGAGAAACGAGAAACACTTATGAACCACATCAACAAACGACAACTATTGAACATCAGATTCCTGACTTAGGACAGGTGCAAACAAATGCAGCGGGTTTAAACGTTTAAATGGTACCAAATGTCCTCTATTAGTTCTCGGTTAAAGCAATGTCGATTTTACTTAAACAAAAACAAAGCATAGCTATTCTGAATATATATATATATATGCATTTATATATAAAAAGTACTGTATTTCAGGATAAAAACAAGATTCAAACTATGATAGATTTTATTGTGTACTCTTGACATGCGAAAGAAACGCTAGTCGATGAGTACAGCGTTTCATAAAATTGAGAATGGAAATGGAGAATGTGTCAAAGAGACAACAACCCGACCATAGAGCAGACAACAGCTTGTTCTAAAATTTTCCAATTAAATTTATATATTTTCTGTACATAATATAGTTTAGAATATACTTATGTAAGTAAAATTAACTAGAAAATAAAAAAAGAAAATTAATAAAACTGCAAACAAAACACATTTTATTCAAGCAAAACCGCTAATTGAAAAACAAGATTCAAACTATGATAGATTTTATTGTGTACTCTTGACATGAGAAAGAAACGTTTGTCGATGAGTACAGCGTCTCATGCTTGCTCTAAAATTTATCCAATGAAATTTATATATATTCTGTGAATAATATAGTTTAGAATATACTTATTTAAGTCGAATTAAATAGAAAATAAAAAAGAAAAATAATAAAACTGCAAACAAAACACATTGTATTCAAGCAAAACCAATAATTAAAAAGCAAGATTTAAACTATGATAGATTTTATTGTGTACTCTTGACATGAGAAAGAAACGCTTGTCGACAAGTACAGCGTTTCGTGCTTGTTCTAACATTTATCCAATGAAATTTATATATATTCTGTGAATAATATAGTTTAGTATATACATATTTAAATAAAATTATCTAGAAAATAAAAAAGAAAAAAGAAAACTGCAAACAAAACACTTTTTATTCAAGCAAAACCACTAATTTAAAAGCAAGATTCAAGCTATGATAGATTTTATTGTGTACTCTTGACATGAGAAAGATCGCTTGTTGATGAGTACAGCGTTTCGTGCTCTTTTTTAAATTTCTAAAATTAAATTTATATATATTCTGTGAATAATATAGTTTAGAAAATATTTATTGAAGTAAAATTAACTAGAAAATAAAAAAGAAAAATAATACAATTGCACACAAAACACATTTTATTCAAGCAAAACCACTAATTAAAAATACAAATACACTGTACAACATCAACCACTCTATCTAAATACTCGACTGCTCGCCTGGGACATGAAACTCTAAACTTTTTTTTCTTTCACATGTTAGACACTTTTTCTTGCCCAAAGTTTCAACATAACAAGGGCAGTGGTCTGAAGACATATTACTTTCTATACCATCCAGCTGTGAAAATGAAAAACAAAAATTACATATTTTTATTGTACAATTGTACAAGAATATTATGTAAATTATGAAAATTGGAGATGAAAGATTTTTTTTGAATGTTAAACATATTAAAGTTAAACAAAATTATTAAACAGCGTTTTGAAAGATTGATCAGGTATACTAAGATCGAATATATATACCAGAATATGATTTTGTACACAAGACGCTCGTTTCACTTACTGAAGATTAAGTATAGTGGCGCTCGAATCAAAGCAGTTGGAACAAATCAAGCACGAAGTATTTAAAAAAACGAAAGTTCCGAAAAATTGTGTCAAATACGGCAAGTTCAATCTATGCATAAAAGCTAGATAAAAAGGTAAAATGTTTTATACAAGAACACAATTTAGAGGTAGAAAATTATTTTGAAAGTTCATCAAATTTTAACTTTGAAACCTATCAATATATTAAGAATGAGTGTTCATCATAACTTATCTTAATCTACTTGAAATGTGTTTACCGTTTTAAAATACTGTAACGTTTTATCTTTTTTATATTCTGAGAGATCTATAACTGTTAGCAATTAGTATTTCATTAATATAAAAACCTCTTCATTCCTCATTTTTTCACTAACCTCAAATAAAATAAAACTGTGGAATAAACTGAATTTTACATTCCTAGTATATCAAATTGTCTTCACTTTTCTTTTGAAATTCTAAATTGTGAATGTTCATTCTTAAACAGTATTCACATTTTATTAACATTCTAATGTCAGAAATGTTACCCTAACATGCAGATAAACGCTTTAGTTTGTTCCATTGCCTCAATATCAGCAAAGTATATTTCATACTTTTGTTTGATAGTATTTTTATTAATGATATTTTTGGCACTAATTTAAAGCTTCTAAAGTTTCTACGTATTTATACATCCCTGGCTTAAAACGTTTCTGCTTTGAGTATATTCATGTTGAAGGTTAATTAAAAAAAAGCACTTCGGACACACACAATTTATAGTGTTTTGTATTTTTTCATACCTACATGTCAAATATTTTTTGTATACTTTAAATCGTCAAAACTATGAAATTTGTGTAATTTTCTTTATTAAATGATGAGATTTACGTACCTGAAAGAAATAGACTCCTTTTGAAAGATGCTTCACCTCAACCATTGACTACAATAAACAAGAAAATAAATCTTTCTGCAAGAATACACAAATTACAGTTTTCCTCTAGTATAAACGAATTATTATGATATTACTTGATTGTATGTAAGTCTGAATTGTACAAAAACATTGAAATCATGGAAACTTGTTGAAAAGGGTCAAACAGAAAGTAAGATGTGTTCACAAAGAGGATTGGAGGAAGGAGATAGATCGAATATGATGGATGACAAGGAATATGACCAAAGAAAGGAGGAAATAATCTCTCCCTATTCCGCCATTACGTAGATTATATTTAACAAATAATTACACAAATTCAAATATGAAGAATAAACTTAATCAATTTATGAACGTATTTCTCATTCACTAAATAATAAAATGACATATAGATATATTTGCATTTGACCTGAAGCATTCTTTTTGTATTACAAAAAGCATTCATAGTAATAAACAAATATATGTTAAACACGACGGCGTCATATGTGGAGCAGGATCCTAAAACAGCCCCTGCTGTTTTTTGAAGCTTATTATTGCTTTGACTTTCGTCTTCTATGTTGTGTGTTGTATTCTGTCGTTTGTCTATTAGTTGTTTTTCGTCATTTGGTTTTGTTAGTTTGTCATCGACATATGAGTTTGAACATCCCTCTTGGTATGTTCCGCCTCTCTTTTAATAGAGATATAATTGTATGTTCTAATCTTTGGGGTTCATCTCAAAATGTCAACACGCTTTTGTTATCAAACTAAATACTGTGTGGATATTTTGTAAAATAATTTAATTGAAATTTCTAATATAACGGTTAGATTGGTCCTTTAAAATCTTTTTTTTAAAGCTTGGTGACAAGGGAGATGACTACCAAAATAATGCACCTTGTTGGAGAGAAACAAACACAATTAACTCGTTTCTTTCCAGTAAAGTTTCAGCGATGATCAATAGCATGCACCAGAACATAAAGTATAAATTATTGATAAAACGATTAACTTTTGTATACTTTACAAAATTATGCTGTAATACAAATTTTCCCATTCAAGTCTTATGGAAAGAAGCAGCTCAATGAGTACGTACCGCATAGTGAGAATCTTACAGGGGCGGATCAGGACTTTTTAAAAGGGGGGCATACTTTCAGAAAACTGAATATATACTGCCGAGCGGAGCAAAGCTAAAATATAGTTTGGCCAAAAACTGACATTTATTTTTCGATCAAATGGGGGTGGCGTACAAACTTAAAGACATTTACATAATATATTTAACTGTATAAACTTACTCCGTAAAGACGTTTTAAATAGACAAGCTTTCCATTCTTCCTGTACAGACTGAAGTCCATGGACCTTATATGCTGTAGATCAAAAACAACTTTAATGCTGTTCCCAGATACATTTAAAAACGAAAGACCTTTCCACTGCACGTCTAGAAAGAGTATTGAGAAATTAAACAATCAAAATGTTTTTCATGCCTAAAATAAACAATACTCGTTAGGCAATTAAAGCATTGGATTTTTTAATGTGGACATGGAATACATATTGGAGTAAAAGAGACGACGCTAACAAAAATAATGAATAAAAATATTAAAATTCGAAGATAACACTAAAGATTAAAAAATACAATACCAAAATAATATTTCTGTTCTATTCTCTCAGATCTGTACTTAATGTCTTTGTTGTTGTAAGAGATGAGGGATAGATAGATATATACCCTGCATCGTCATGTCTGTGTTTTTGTTTGATGTTTTTCTTTGTATCGATCTGATGCGTTAAGCCTTTTTCAACTGATTTTTATAGTGTGTTCTTATAAATGTTGTGCTGTTACACCACTGTCCCAGGTTAGGGGAGGGTTGAGCGCTCACAAATATGTTTAACCCCACCACATTCTTTATGTGCCTACCCCAAGTCAGGAGCCTGTAGTGTTTGTCTTGGTTAATGTCTGTCATATTTGTTTTTCGTAAATTGTTTAGTTATAAATTATGCAGTTAGTTTTTCTTAATAATTGAATTGTTTCATATTTTTCAGGTCGACTATACGGCTTGGGTTTTTCTCGTTGTTGAAGGTCGTACGGTTGCCTATAATTGCTTACATCCACTTCATTTTAACGTTGGTGGATAGTTGTTTCATTGGCAATCATACCACATATCCTTATTTTTAATATTTCTCGAATTCTTACTCGATTTAACATTTTCCTGACCTGTTAATCATTTTTATTTAATCAACGTGTGGTTCGTTTGATCTCAGTTTGTCATTAGTCAAAATTCGATTATGACGTCAAATTTTCTTGCTTCCCATCGAAATTCCTATTGTGATGTCATGAAAAAAGGCGACAATGCCTGATGACGTCATATAAACAGAACACATCTTTTTTCAGATCGTTCGAAAAGAAGGATAATGATTATTTGCATTTTGTCTAAAAATCATTAGAGAAACAGATTCCACCACAAAATTTCGTGCAATACGGTATTTATCCCCTCTCGACAGTTGAATTTTAAATATTTAAAACGCATGGCAAGCCTCGCGTTTTAAATTTGAAAATTTAACCTTCTCGAATGGATAAATATCGTATCACACTCGATGTAGTGGTAGAATCTATATATATATATATATATATATATATCGACTTTTTGGGTCGCTCAAAACTAGAGGATTGTTTCATTCAAATTCCACGTTCATTCGTGGTTACAGGTTATAAGTACTACTCCGTCTTATGTCGTATATTTGGTTGTCACAGTTTTTGCACCCGTGTATGTAGGCGTGTCTTCTAAGAGTGGAACGTTAATACGAAGCATTTGGGTTAAGAGTTTGTCATTAAAATTCAGACAATCAAAATGCAAGTAGAAGTAAGTAAACTTGTATCATATACATTGTTATGTTTTGTTATGTCAAATAGAATTATTTAAAATAAGTATTTACGTACGTTTTATTGAGCCTATTTCTACAAGTGGATAGACAAATACTGACAGTGCAGGCGTACTCTTGAATCTATCTGGCAAGTGCGTTTTTAAATTCATCTGAAATTTTCATAAATATGCAGTCTATGGTTAGACAAAAAAGGGCAAACCTCGGACTGAGAAAACAAACGTTAGAGTTTTAGAACTGCCGAGCTGTGGTACGAGATGAACTTACCCAGATTGACCTTTAACAAATATTCCCACACCTTTTAAAAGTTTCAGGATGGCCAAAAACTTGTGAAAGCCTATATCAGGATTCTTTTATATTATCATTTTTACATTCTGTTTCATTTATTTGTTTGTTCATAAGTTTTTTTAAAATTGTCATTTTTCATATGCAGATGACTTGTAGAACTATAGAAATAGAAAGGTAAATAGATTACTAGTAATAGTTTCACAATACTTACTAAGTTATGAGGAGTATTATTCAACAATAAAAGTTTGCAACTTTCAGTTTCCCAGTCAGTAAACCATACCTTGAAACCTGTTAAATTGCTTTTATCTGAAAAAAAACCCTTACATTAAAAAAAGCTCGTGGCATGATGCATTTTTTGCAAAATTGATCATAACTTTAATTTCAACTACTAGTATTTCTAAAGCCATTTTGTTACAACCAATAGCACATCTCAACCACTGAAAATGTAACAATTAGATTGAAGATGATTTTTATTTCATTCATATCAATTTTCATCTTTCGAAATCTCATCTCTTTGTTTAAATTTAGATTCGGTTTTTTTTTCAAAGAGGTCAAATTTCAGCGGAATGCCTTTCATTCTAGGGCCGTGCTATAAAAGTTCTTCAGTCTAAACCAAAATTTGCAAAATCACCGCTTCATATGTAGTTTTCCCGCCTGTAACGATATTTTGTCGTATCTCTAATCTTGGAGCCCAATTTAAGAAGCCTAAAGGTGCCTCAAGACAGCAATTTTGAATGATCTTGGAAGCTTACGATTATTTATCCAATAAATTTTAAACCAAAAACCAAAATTTGATCGAAAGTAAATCTATATGTGTACTCTACTGAATACAATATAATTCATGTTGGTTATAATAAGGATGGTCTTCAATGCTATAAAACCATATTACACCAAAACTGTCTTCAACAGCAACGTAAAGTACTGAAAATCATTTGGATTTAATGTTCAGACTCTTTAATATTCAAAGGCTGTGTTCCATCAATTTTCGTATCTTGATCCTGTGACTGGAAGAAATTTAGTGAAAATTGACCATATACTCCTTTGTATTGCATCGTGAAGAGTTTTACCACCATTATCGTGACTTGATGTTCTGAGTTTTTTGTAACCTACGATTCGATAAAGATGACATGACGATTCCATGATCATGTTCAGAAATTCGATAATTTACGATAAGGGACATCACTTTTTGCGATGAGATATAATTTTATTTTCAGAACTTTTATTTTATAGTATCTGTCAAAGTTTAGAAAATATCTATACAAACATTTTATGGTTTGAAGTGAATACAAATTTTGAAAAACCGTCTCGGTTGTCTGTTTGAATTGTGCTCGCCTTGGTTGCGGAATGCCACTGGTCGCTAAGCACTATGTTCAGTCATCAATCAATCGAGTAAGGGAGTTTGTTGGTTAAACCTTGTGCACGGTCAAAACTAAAACTTTAAATCTGATATACTATGATTAAAAAACTCATCAATGACACCACACTTATAATTTAGTGCGCGAGATACGCTTTTAGTCTACAAAAGACGCATCAATGACAAATTAAAAAGGTTAAAAGGATAACAATCTAATTAAAAACCGATCTCTCATCGCTTCGGTTTTCTGATATGTCACACGCGACATATCAGAAAACGGGAGCGATGAGAGATCGGTTTTTAGTTAGATTGAAAGGATAAGTAGGTGGCATTTCAGAGTCAGAACACAAACTTTAATTGGTAGTGTACCTTCCTACGGTTTGTTACCTTTCACTTAGCACGTTACCAATCTGATACAAAGCAAGCCATATAATTGTAATTGTCCTGAAAATGTCTAGTTATATACATGTAGTTAAATAACAAAATAGTGTGTACATATACGGCGTTGAAAAAATCATAACATTGAATAAGCTACTGTTGTCCGTACTTAATTGTCAGATTTCTTTCGAGCTCAATTATAAGTGTAAGGTCGACTCTGTCAAACAATGCTGACTATAGAAACTCATTCATACACGAGTGGCAAGAGAACAACATGTGTATTTATTCAGACAAATCACTTTTAATGATATTTTAAACGCGGTGTATAACTATATTTGAGGTAAATTTTTTATACGTGTAACATAAATGTTCTACCTTGAATTGGGTATGACCAGGTTACAAAACGGTTTCTGATTTCTATTTTATTACTTGGTACATCCCATTCGTCCGGCAAACTTTCAGCATTGTGTCTCGTAAACTCGGTTTCCATACAATCTAAAACCATGTTTTAACATTTTACATGCAATATACAAACAAAAAGTATGTGAGTACATATTTCACTATCTTATTTTTACTGTTGAACAGAAAGCAAACAGAATACTTATTATCAAAATGAATAATGCTTGGTGTATACAAAACTGAAAATAAGGTTGTAACCCATAACAGGCAAAGTTGTCTAGAGGCAGTTGTGGCTTTGCTTCATGTTTTGCTGTTACTATGTATATATATGCCGACTTTAAATAAAATTTACTTACTTACTTACTTACTCTTCTTTTTTCTTCTATTGGATTTTTGTTTTTGTTAATGTTATATTGTTTTGTTTTTTTTGTGTTTTTTTTTAAATGTTATTTGTTTGTTTGATTTTTTTCTGGTTTTTTTCTGTTTTTTTTTTTATTTTTTGTTTGGGGGAGGGTAGTCTGAAAAAAACCAGGGCCAAACACAAGGTTGCAAACAACAAATCTGTTGAGATAGTTTTGCTCAAAATAAAAACACTGGCAATAATTGTAATGTCAATTTACAAATTTTGATGTTCTTTAGATATGGAATTATGCAGATGATGCAGGTTTTTTTTTCTGTCATGTCTGTTATATTCAATAATCAAACATACCTATGCTATACTCTGTAAAATTCGATTCAACGTGTCCTTGAGTCTAAAAGTGAGTTAATCCATATTTATAAAATCATCATAGCAATACAAAGAGAAAAAAAAACTATCTGACTCTAGTATCGGTTCACATTACTTTAAATGTTTTATACAACAAATATACATTAACAAAAAATACCTCTAAAATTCAATGTTCATAAAGGATATAATTTATCATAACATTCGATGCAATGTAGACAACGGCATTAAGTTTTGTTTGATATATTTACTAAGGTATTTTAATATGCTTACATTTTATATATACAAACAAATTATAAAACAAACAAATGAAAATAAAAATAAACAAACAAAATTACCTGAGTAACATGTTCATTTCCAATGTGTCTGCCTGTCACCCGAAAATACACGTTGATCGCTTGAAATACCCCTAGAAACAGAATACGCGTTTCCAAGAACATTGCCAGTGGTTGTATAAAATGAAATCAGTAAATTCAACGGTTTATATACAAAAATGGGATGGACAAAACTTTTTGATGAATAAATCCTAGAGATTTAAACTACAAAATGAGATTTGAATTTTTATTCACCAACAGTTTCTGTATAGCTTTACGCAAAATAATGACGCGCTTTCTGTGGCAGTTATTAATCTCCTAATGACCAATTTCACGATGCTGTCACGTTTCTCATATTTATTAAATAATCATTACATGTTATTTACAAAATCCTTCAGTAAATTAATTTACGTAAAGGCTTTGTCAATTTTTAACCCGTTACAAAGGTATGAAGAAAATGTATATCATATGTTTACACTATGATAGTAAAATCAAATATTTCCATATTGTCTTTCCGGACCCGGCGTCACTACTGATCTTTAACAACAACTTTTTATCGAATCAGATTCTTTTTCATTGATAGTATTTTCTTAAAAGTACATATAGTTCAAACAAAGTTTAACGTGTAAGCCATTGTATCCGGGTGTGTATAAATCGGTGAATGTTTAGCTTTTCAACTTGTATAAGAGTTGGGATTATATTAACTTTGATGCATTTATTTTTTACCTCCTGGCCGGAGAACACGCACAGTTATTTCGTATTGCATTTCTTTTAGACAATAAATCCAAATTCAAAAAAAAGCACCTGCGCTTTCTCAATAATATTTTTTACAGTGTGGTGTACTACTTTTGGGACAAATTATATCAAAATTATAGAAAACTGTCTTCACCAGCTCTAACTCAAAATACGGACACTTTTATGTTAAGTGGGTCTTAAAATTAGCTCCGGACACACTATTTTTTTTTTTACCTTTTCAACTGGACGAAACCACTTCAATCATTACTTTTTTTTTGCACAGCGTAATTTCAGGCCCCTACTTGCTATTTGAGGCAGGAAACATGAAAAAACAAGAATGTGTCCATAGTACTCGGATGCCCCACTCGCACTATCATTTTATATGTTCAGTGGACCGTGAAATTGGGGGTCAAAACTCTAATTTGGCATTAAAATTAGAAAGATAATATCATAGGAAACATGTGTACTAAGTTTCAAGTTGATTGGACTTCAACTTAATCAAAAACTACATTGACCAAAAACTTTAACCTGACACGGGACAGACGGACGAACGGACAAACGAACGGACGGACGAACGAACGAACGAACGAACGAACGGACGGACTAACAGACCGGAAAACATAATGCCCCTACTGCTATCGTAGGCGGGGCTTAATAAAACAGTTCAGTGTTGTGTAATCAAGCAAAAATAGTTAAGATAATATTTGACATACTACTATTTATTCCCTCTAGTACAGAAAATGATTAAGATTCCACACATATAATTGATTACTTTTTCAAAAAATTCCCCCCCCCCCCCCCAAAAAAAAAAACAAACTTTTAATTTCAATGTAAACACATTCTTTGAAAATGTAGTGATGAAAGCCCAAAAGTTGTCGCCTTCACGTGCGCTTGGAAGCGTTAACGCATGGACCCCATTTCTCTTTTACGGGTAAATTTTTGTTATTAAATCTAAATTCCTTTATAATTTCAATTTCTTTCACATATTTAGAGTGTTTTCACTGTAAAAGTTGTGCTTAGAATTTAAACGTGTTGCAAGACTTATGTGCTTAGGAAAGTGTTTAATTTCTAAACATAAAAAAATAAACATGTTTTGGCTCTCAGCACTTCGCAATAAACATGTTTTGGCTCTCAGCACTTTTCAATAAACATGTTGCTGTGCTAAACATGTTTAGCTACTTTGTCAAGTATATAAAGCTAAACGTGTTTAAATTCTAAGCACTTTCAATATTTAGACACTTTCCTAAACACGTTTAGAATTACAACACATTTAGGCCGAATACGGCATTCATATCACGTGCTAATTTTTGAGCGGGAAGAAGAAACAAAGAACCCGAATTCTAAGGCCACGCTGTAATAGTTATACACCGAGGGATAGGTGTGTCTGGATAAGAAACCCCGTCGGCCGGAGGCCGGAGGGGTTTCTTATCCAGACACACCGTATCCCGAGGTGTATAACTAACTTACACCCCATTCTAAACCCTATATTTGTTAACATTGATTATTAAATGAAAAAAAACAAAAAAAAACGATAGCATATTTATTGACAATATCAATCCATGATTTATAAGAATATTTTTTATTACATGAAACCCCACTAGTAACCTTACTTTGGTTATCTTCGTTCAAACTTTGACAAGTGAGTATATTTTACAAATGTCGAAGTTGTTTTGCATATTCCCGTTAAATCCATGTGCTAATATGGATCAGCAGGTCAAGGTTGACTGTTTCGTGTATTCTTATTACAAACAAAAAAATACATCATGCTCCTGGTATACAGTTGTCAATATGGACGGGTATAAGACGGACGACATTTTGTGGCAAGCGTTGGATTTGGTAGAAGAGACTAAAGATAAAGGCAATATTATAACCCAAAGTACTTACCTGTATCAGTTTAATAAAGGTAATCATAACTGTATTTTATATCTTACGATTTTATCAAAAACAAAAGCCCCCCCCCCCCCCCCCCACTTCTCGAGAATAAAAAAAACATTCATATTCGAACATACTAAGGGATAGGTGTGTCTGCATTAGAAACCCTACTACCAGACACGCTCAACATACAATATTTAATATAGAGGAACTCCGTTTTTGGGGCAATCAGGGGCTGATCAAGCCGGGGGTTCCCAACTCAAGAGAAAAAAAAGGGGAGGCCAACCATTCAAATGCATTGATCATTTAAATAAAAGTCGTGTCCAACCCGCGGAACCCCCCCCCCCCCCCCCCGGATCGGCCACTGGGTAACCGGAGGGGGTGTCCTGGAGTTAGAATCCCCATTTTTTTTTAAAGATCAATGCTTTAGAATAGAGACGTATGACTGGGATAAAAAAAATACCTTCAAGCAAAAGAGTATTAAAGGATTATTTTTGTATTCCATATAGATGCTTATTGGAATTTCCTAAAATGTGTTTTTTAATATCATGAAACAATTTGTAGTGAACATTATTAGTAATTTCTTATGTACATGCTATTTAAAAAAATAATCAATTTCTTTTGATACGAATAACAATGGACTTTGTTTACGGGATGTAGAAGCAGGGGTTTCCAGAAACCCCGCTCGTCACACCCTGTGGTCAAAATCCATTGTTATTCGTAACAATAGATCTATTCAATTTACGCTTGTTTCAGAAATAGAAACTATGAAGTATAACAATAGAACTGGGGTGTAAGTTTACTTCTGACCATAACTGACCGTAACTTGACTGTTTCAGAAAGGTAAGGAGTTATGATTATACTGTCTTTTATTTTGTAATGCCAATTTTAAATGATTATTGACAGTTATAAGCATTATTTACAAGTACACTACCGTATAGTCAATGCAGGAGAGAAAAGGGGGTACCATCCCACGAAACAAGTGCTTGTAAGAGCTTTAAGTGTTCAAACTATCTTGTGTATAGATGATACGAGTTGTTTAATGTTCTATCATGCAAGTTTGCATTTATTTTTTTATTTATATATGTTCTTGGAAAGGAGTTTGTGAGGATAATTTTCGTTCGGTACTCCTCGGCAGATTATAATGGAACATGAAGGTTAGCGGAATCTGCCGAGTCTTATCAGGATGAGGTGCATCATTCGCAAATCCAGTGTCATATCGAGTTCATTGTTTTCGTAAGCACTTCCGGTATGCACAATCAACATTTCCTCAAAATAAATAGAAAGATGCTTGTTTATTTCAATAGTTATAAGCGGTTGTGATTTTTTTATAATTTTATTGATATGTATTGTTTTATTCTAGATGAGAGAAGTGCAGAGGAAATCATCATCTCTCTTGGCAGTAAAAGAGGAGATAAAGAACAGTAGCAAATATGCTGCTAGGTAAGAATCAAAAGTGTATTTGATTTTAAAAATGCCAATATATATTTGATCAAATGAATAATATTAAGCATGAATAGAAGTTTTATATTAAAAAATATCAATTGATTCATCAGTAATCATATGTTTTTATACCACGATCCTTATGTTGTTATCTGGATCTTAAATCATGCTTTTACTTTTTGGTGTTGTAGTTCGTATTATTATATTTTTAGATTAATTCTACTTAGTTGCTTATCAATATTTTTCTATATTTCAGGCCATTGACCAGCAGTTGGGTACTATGGAAGGAGAAGCTCTTATTGACCTGTAAAATGAAAACAGGACATTTTCATATTGTTTTGTTGTAGGGATGGGGTACAAGTAGAAGATTGGTCAATATTATGTACATGTACCTTGATATGAATTTATTTTTGATTGTGTTCAATGATAAACTGGAAATAAATGATAACATAAATTCCTTTGTTTTATATGTTGTAATTTTGTTTTTAAAGCTAGAATTAGTATAATGATAATTTCATTTCAAAAGTTCTAGACTGTTTTACAAATATTTGAAATGAAGAAAAAATGCAATAGTCGAATGACGTGAATTGAATTAAAGAAAAAACTCATTGAGATTGAAAAGGTATTGGTCACATTCAATTTGATATGGAAATTCCAGTTTCTTAGTTTGATGCATTGGCTCCTTTTTGTGATGGTATGAACACCTGTTTTATTGAGAGCTATCATACGTTTTACAGTCAAGCCTTCCGGAATATTAGTTTAACTGGGGCCTAATGAAGTAACGGCTTCTCACAATAAAATGATAAACATGTTTCTTCACGACCCTTTATGTTCTAAACATGTTTACATTCAAAACACTTCACAGCTAAACGTGTTTCCAGACAAAACACTTCTCAGCTAAACATGTTTCCAGATACAACAATTCACAGCTAAACATGTTTACAGTCTAAGCACTTTTTAGCTAAACGTGTTTCTAGTCTAAACGCTTTACAGCTAAACATGTTTACAGTCTAAGCACTTTATAGCTTGACACGATTAGGCTGTTAGCACATTAAATATTAAACATGGTTAGATTTAAAACATGTCAAAAATCGGTTTCATAAATGTGTTTAGGAAAGTGTTTAGGCTCTAAACACATTTTTTAGAGTGTTGGCTCTTATCCGCACGATCTTGCTATAACAGTAATAGTTTATACGTGCCACCCCCGTATTCTTTTTTTCCACAATAGAATAGAGGTGTGAATGATTTATGGTGTAATATATAAGGTCACTAATACACAATAAGAACCTTGAAATGGTCATATGCGGACTTCAGTTTAGCTTTCGCACATTGGTTCGATCGAACGGGTCGTTATGAAAATTAAAAAAAAAGATAAGTGCAATCTTCTCTGTATTGTTTTACTCACAGTTTCAATTTCTGAAAGTGGTTAAAACCTACCTGAATATGAGAATATTAAGGAGTGAAATCCGTTTGCACCAAAAATGCGTCCAATTAAGTTAATGACATTGCTTCGGTACTACTTACATGATTTATTACACACCTTTCTTACATTTTCCGTTGATAAATTAAGAAATGATAATGAAAATAAGGTTCCAACTCCCTCAGGCAAAGTTGACAGACAAATTTGGCATTTTTAGATCCATTTTGATCATATAGCTCTTCATGTGTCTATGTCCTATACATGTTTGCTTTCAGATGTTTGGGTTTGAGGGTTTCCTGATTTAGGTAAATCCAGAAAAGTGCTTCGTACGCACGAAATTAAGAATGTGTTTATCATTTATTAGCACTGTTTGGATACCACAGCTTGTTGCGTGTAAGTCCCTAAGGGTATCATCAACTGATCTGTTGTCAGTGCTTCAGTACTATATATGTGCGGTAAATTTATAAACGCATGTACAGGTAAATTGGCGCAAAGGAATTTCGCAAACTGCCGCAATTGATACCTTTCTGAATTCAATTTGTGCAAAAGGACTGTTTATATATATATATATATATATATATATGGCAGTCAGCAGGATTTAAGAACATTTGTTGTTCGACCTGTTAGTCAAATGCTATTTGTTAAAATATACTTTTTCACTTTTTTTATCTTTTGGAAAATGTTGTTTGTGCTGTATTTAGACCCCTCTAACAAGAAATTTGTTATGCATGCACACGTATAAAAATTGCGGTTTTTATCCAACGCAATCATAGGTTTGAACGTTGTTTTCAATTTAGACTTGTATATATATATATATATATATATATATATAATTGATTAAACGATACGAAGCTGTTTTTCATCGCCATTATAATTACGAAACATGGAATTCAAACTAAGCAAAGAAAGGTTCTCTGAGCTAAAATATTAATATGGCCACAACATAAATGCACAGATCATGTAAGTTGCTGTAAAACAAAGGGGTGAAAGTTAACAAACATGGAATTCAAACTAAGCAAAGAAATGCAACAAAACGTCCAGAAATACAAACAGAACACATGGTTGACAGATTGAACGTCTTTAAAACAATTTCACGGGTATGGTTTTCTTTTCCCGAAGGTTCTCTGAGCTAAAATAATAATATGGCCACAATGTGTTTATATTTGAATGTTTCAGTTAACAAGGTTAATGACTTTTTTTACAGTTGTACATTAAAAAGGCAAATTTTCTTCAATAAATTCTGGATGGTGTGTTTGAACAAAAATTTATGTTTAACTGTGAATTAGTATAATCAGGGATTATGTAGAATCCCTGATTTTTTAGGGAATTTGCATAATCACTTAAATCATTAATGATTATATATAATCCCTGAAAATGACCAATGAGTTTACATAATCACTGATAATTTTAAGAATTATTCTACAAATTCCCTGAAATGAATGAATGAATGAATGCTTCTATTGCAAAACAGTAGTTACATGCTATAGTAACACAAATATATTTACATTATAACACATAATAAACAGCAGAGAACAATATTCTAAGATAGTACAATAGACAAACAATCAACAAACAATAGTGATTTCATGGATTATAATTTAAACACAGATTCTCTGTTTGGTAAAAAATATATTAAAGAGGGGCCTGATGGGTTATTTTCGTTCTTCGTGATTGGGCGCATTTTCGCTATCGTGATCCGTTTTTCTACAGATTTTTTTTTTATATTTTCGTGATCCGTGATCATGGAAATTTATTTTCTGTGAATCGTGATTGACAAAAAAATCAACTCGTGAATCGTGATGAGACCCACCCCCCCCCCCCCCCCCCCCCCACCAGGCCCCTCATTAAATACTGTAACAGACAAATAAATCATATGCATAACCTTCAAGTGGACAGTTTTCATTCCCTGTTGATTTATCAAATGTTATTATTAAAGTGGACAGTTTGTGTGGTGATATTCTATTTAACTGTGTTAAACCACATTAACTCATAAACAAATAAGTATTTTAAATTGAAATTAATAATACCAACATAAATGCACAGATCATGTAAGTTGCTGTAAAACAAAGGGGTGAAAGTTAACAAACATGGAATTCAAACTAAGCAAAGAAATGCAACAAAACGTCCAGAAATACAAACAGAACACATGGTTGACAGATTGAACCTAATTTTGGAGGAAGCTGTGATACCAATTCCGCTTGTTGATTGTGGAAAATTAGACCCCACAAAGATAATGGCCATCGTTCATAAAAGGGCTGAAAAGGATAATGCCTGACTACGAAACATTAAATTATGCTCAGATAATACACAAGGAACCAATTTGAGGTATCTGATTAACCTTTTTAGCACTTTCAGATGTTTCTAATGAAAACTTTATTTTTCATCAAAGTGCATTAAAATCAGATTCAATATGTGAAGGCTAAGGTGCTTTTTTTAGTGTTTATTTTTAAGTTTTGTTGCCCCCTAAAAAAAGCCGAAAAGCAGAGCATATGCATGTTCGATAGTATAGATTCTGTATGGGGTTTATAGAACAGAGAATAATGGACAACCAGTGCAAAATATAGGGCTAAAAATAAAGAATAGACAAAAATAAGAATAAGAAATAACAGGGTTTCAAAATATACAGAATAGAGAACAATGGGCAAAATAAATATAAAGAATAGAGAAAAAATGATCTAAAAAAATCAAAGAATAATGACACGAGGTACCCTCATCCATACCCTCATAGCTGGCCGTAAATATTATCAAAATATACAATGTAGTTTGTAAAAATAAATGATTTTTATTAGAATATTGTGCTTAAGATTGTAATATTTATGTTTCTTACGATGTTTAAATATGATTTTATAAAATAAATTATTTTACTTTTATTAATTGTCTCTTCATTCAAGTTATATGATGTATAATCCCTGACATTTTTCTAGCCTGTGATTATGCATAATTCCTGATTTTTTTGTAATTTTTTACTATAAAGTTACCAGTGATTATATATACTCCCTGAAAACCTGAAATTTTGAGGGATTATACATAATCCCTAATTCTACAAATTCACTGTAACCGTAGGCCTATATATACATGCACTAATTTTAAATAAACGGCGATTGAGGATAAATATGTCATTCGTCATAAGCAGGAACATATATATATATATTGACATATATTAGATATACTGTTCCCCGGTATAAGGGCAAGGACATCCAAAAGCGTAACACAAAATTCATTTCGTTTTACAATATACACATTCTTCATACTAATTTTAGTATTCTAGTTTTTAAAATATTGAAAAAATTCTTGATGTTTGCCACTTTAATAGAAAGGCATTCGAAAACTAAATTAAACAGGATGAGGCCGGAAAATCATGTCGACCCGAATTTGTTTACAAACATGGACTACCTCCCCTACTGGCCTGAGCAGTTGAAGAAGTTTTGACAACTTGAACTTCCAAACGATGAAACACACTGACAAAGGGGGATATCGGCTTGCATAAAAAACCTCCTTAAACAATGACTTCATTCCTTTTCATTATAAAGGTCCCTGTCGAGGAGTCGAAGCATAAATCAAAGGAGACCGATAAGCAAGGTATATCCACAGAAGTTTGAAATCTAAGCAATAACCATGATAACGGTGTATAAATATGCCAAACTCAACTATCACAGTAGAGCTTCTCTCGAATCAAACCAAATCTGAAATATAACATGGGATTCATTTTTTTTATAGACGGTCGATCTTATATAGATATATCTAGTTACCGGTTCATCAGCTCAAACTGCAGATATGCAGAACCTGTTAAACTATTTTTAAAAGTAGGCAACTTTTAGCTTTATATAATTGCATGTGTTTCCGCTAATGTTCTGAAAAAAAATAGGTTAGGTCGGTAGGCAATATCATTTTATTTTACAAACATTTTTTAGCTGGTTACTATTAGGGAATCAGTCTGACTTTAACTGTGCTTGTTCCAAAATGGCATAAAAAGTGTTAGGGTAGGCACTAAAAATACACCTTATCGCTATTTGTCTGCCATTACTGGACATCACACAAGTTCCCGTAAAATTTTGACGTCACAATACAAAATATCTGACGCCACAATGGAAAAGTGATTGTTGTATGACGTCAAAAGTTCAAGCGGGACAGATTCTCTAGTCAGCGGGGAATAGCGATAAGGTGTATTAGGGTAGGTAGGGTTAGCGGAAAAACACATGTATTATTTTTTTTTGGCCTTACCGAAGCGTTGCGCAAAAACAAAAATTCTGTGATTTTGTAGTTTTACCAAAACTTTAAACATACAGGTTTATATTATATCTAATTATTAGTAAAATTGAAAAAAATAAAACTTTTGCTTCTTTTAAGTAGCAAGATTTATTCCTTTGATGCAATCATTCATCTGTAAATTCTATATTTGTTGAAAAAAATGCTATAATGAAGCTCAACATAATGATCTAAATAAATACTTTCTTAACAGATTTTTCCTAGCAGTTGGAGTATTTTTCCTGTAAAATGCAAGGTTTCATCTTACAGATTATGTAATAAAATTTTACTGTTCGCGACCAAAATTTCACTGTTTGGGGGTGTTGAAATTAGTTGGGGTAATTAAGATAATAATACTTAAAGAAGTGATTTTTTTGAAGAAAATTGATGTATGATACTTAAACAAGTGATTTTCATGTCATTATCCCAGATTCAGTACAAGGTCATCACCTGACATGACCAGTCATCCTATAAACACAGATGTTGTTTTTGATAATTTTAGCAACATAATTAGTCCCTGGATCATTAGTATTATATATTTAAAGCTACAATAAAATTAAATCACTTAATCTAGTGATTTATTTGTACTACTTGAATATGTGATTATTAAAGAAAGACAACTCTTACTTCCAACATTTCTGAAAAAATGTTACGTTAATCAGTGATATCTTAATCACTCATTTAAGTAAATTCCCCAGACTGATAAAGCTAGCAGAATAGAATAATGAGGGTAGGAATGCTCTTTACCGTCAGACGTCAAACGGTCATTTTTGGCTACTGTTAGCGTCAAATTGATTAAAATTTTACCGTGATTTGTCAAAATATCCTTATCGTGATTCGTCAGAGGTCTCAAATAATTACTGTTACCGAAAAAATTAACGTGATTTGTCAAAATCAGTCGATTTTTTTTTATTGTCTTAAAGAAAGTGTACATTTTATCGTCATGCACCAAAAATTACCGTAAACGTCATTTGGCAAGATTTTTTATCGTTATTTGTCATGAAGGTATCCCTATTAGGCCCCTCAATAATGTTCATCCTGCAAATTCACAAAAAAAACTTAATTTAATAATGAAGCTAAGGTACTTCAGTTAACTCTGTATGTGTGTGTACATAAAGGTTCTGTGTTTCTTATTAGAAAGTAAAGACATCTCTAAAAATTGTACCTGCTAGTCTGGCAATTATTACTGTGTGCCAGATAATTCTTCAGTCCCACCAAAAACTGACCTCAAATCAAATTATAAATTTTAGATTCATATTCTTGTGGTAGTGTGTTCCCCTCAAGTGTGGTAGGTTGTAGGTTTTGAACCATGGCTTGGTCAAACCAATGTCTAAAGTTGGTATTTGCTGCTTCTCTTCTAAGAAAGAGGCATTAAGGATTAAGGGCAAAGACTAGTCGGTTTGTAGTCAAAATAATGTGTGCAGATACATTTGTAGGCTGACATGTCTTCCTGCTGACTGTTACCTTATGAACTAACAAGTTTAAAATTTTGGTCCAGCATGTAGGTTTTGTACAAAGCATAGACCATTTTCATATTGCACTAACATGTTCTCTTTCTGAATTATGAAAATATATGCTTTTAATTTGCCACTGAATGTTAAACAGCTATACATTAATTCATGATCCATCCATCAAATTCATGACTACAATATTTTTTTTTTTTACAGGTAACAAAGAAGTACAAACTAACGATTTAAAGAAGGATGAAGTACAAATTGACGATCTAAAGAAGGATGAAGTACAAACTGACGATCTAAAGAAGGATGAAGTACAAACTGACGATCTAAAGAAGGATGAAGTACAAACTAACGATCAAAAAATGGATGAAGTATCAATTCAGAAGAAAGAGACCAAAGATAAAGAAATAGAAATTTCTGATCAAAAAGAGGATAAAATTACCAAAGATGCCATAGATAAAGATGAAACAAAGAATACAAATAAAACTCCTGATGATAAAAATGAATCAGACACGACTGAAGGAGGGGTTGTGCAGCAATCATCAGCAACAACATTAGACGAATGGGATTTTGGTGAAGATGATCATGAAACAGAAGATAGTAATGGCGATGCTGAAGAAAAGTCTCACTTATTGGCAGAAACACTAGAAAAAGACGTTCTAGATAAAAAAGATTCTGAGCCGAAAATTTTTGAAGTTGAGCCAGTCGATGAAGCATCAGAAATATTACCTTTATTGGAAGGGAGTGAAAAATCAGAGGAATCAAAAGATTCTCCAAAAAAGTTATTTGCCGTTACAGCAGTTGAAGATCCAAAACCAGAAACTGAAAGCAAAGAAAAAGAACCTATTGCAACTGAGAATTTTTATAAATCAACAGACAAAAAGAATGCAGTCAGTTTACCAGAGATTAAATCTTCACTCATTCTAGGTATACCAGAGAATAAATCATCTGTCAGTCTACAAGAAGACAAATCAACTGCTAGTCTTCCAAGTAAAGAATCAGCAGCAAGTCTGGAAAATCTACCAAAAAAGGTTCAGTTTATGTCACAAGTTTCAGCGCCTGATGAAGAACATCTTCACCCCTTCATTGAACCAACAACTATTCTAGAGGTATGGTAGTTCAGTTCTTTATTTTTGTTGGAAGAAAATTTGATGGAACATAGTCCCTTTCGTGTAAGACTGAGGTTTCCACTAATAATTAATTCTAGTCCTGCTTTTTGTAGCTTCTTTGAACAAGGAATAATTCTAGTCATGCTTTTTTGTAGCTTCTGTGAACAAGGAATATATTTGTTGAAATGATTGAATCTGTGTCAAAAAGTCAAAAAGACAGTATTGACATGACTGATGCAAGCTTTGTCCATTTACTGTAATTATTGGTATGTGTTTGCTGATCAAATTAAGTCTAAAAAGAACTATTTAATGCAAAGTAAGCTTGCTTTTAGGGATATTGAATTCAAACTCTTTTTATATTTTTTATCTTTTCTAGGATACAGAAGCTTTATTAGATAATTTTGGAATTGAGAATTATGTTGTGTCGAAAACAGCCAGTGGAAAATTCTATCAGGTACATGTTCTTTAAGCCAAACATTTCTCTGCTGCACTTACATGTAGTGGAAAATTTGGTCACAAAATCTGTTATGGGCATATAATACAGAAAATATCTCTTGTTAATTTTACTTTAAAATTTTGACTAAAGGTCTCAATTGTCCTCCACAATTGAAATATGCAAAGAAAACCATATCTTCATGAATGACTTTCGAGGTATATCAGTTTGGAATTTTCATGTTTCATGTAAAAACACAAAATTTCATTTTTATGGCCCTTAGTGGTCGGCCATATAGTTTTACCCTTGTCCATCATTCCGTCATTCCGCTACAAACCATTATACAGAGTTTTTTTCAAAACTGCTTCAGGATATTGGGCTAATTTTTGGTATGTGAGTTTTCCATGATGAGTTGCAGATCAAGTTAACGTTTCGTTCTGCTCCGCTAATTTTAGCCGATATTACAGGTTTTAGACTTTGAAAATAACAGTTATACGTTCTTTTTTTCATAACCGCTTCAGGATATTGGGCTGATTTTGGTATGTGAGTTCTCCATGATGAGTTACAGATCAAGTTTACGTTTCGTTCCGCTCCGCTGATTTTAGCTGGTATTACAGGCTTTAGACTTTGAAAATTTCTTGAAAATAACAGTTATATGGACTTTTTTTCATAACAGCTTCAGGATATTGGGCTGATCTTTGGTATGTGAGTTCTTCATAATGAGTTACAGATCAAGTTTACGTTTCGTTCCACTCCGCTGATTTTAGCCGGTATTACAGGCTTTATTGTTATGTGAATCTACCAAGATGAGTTACAGATCAAGTTCACCTTTGTTCCACTCTGCTGATATTAAACTGCATCACCAATGGTGAAAGCAGGTCTAGTAATTACTCAACTCCATCTGTCATTCTGTCAGTCTGAAAGACCTTGCATATTAAACCATCATCAAAGATTTCTAGTCTTCTATAAAGAAATGATTTTATATTGGTCCAAAGCTTGATCATGTTGAGTTGTTAGGCATTAACAATTTTAAATCTGCAGTGCATCCACTTCCTGATTGCTGATAGTTTGAAATATAATTACTCTTTGTTAAAGAAATTGTTTGTCAAACCAGTATTGCTTTTGAATTCTGATTACTATCCATGCATGTCTGTGTCCACACTTGTTGTTGAAATATCAGGCTTTCGACTTTTTGCCATGGAGCCATTCGTGTGGTTCCAACACATCTAGTTCAAAACTATGCTGAAAATTTAAAAAAAAATTCAAATAGAAAGAGATATTTTCAACCTGTTTTTTGCAAAGTGTTCCTTAATTTATAGGCCTTCATGTAAGTCCCTACAATAAAGGCTGAATGATATAAATAGTTTGTGAAATAATCAACTTAGTGTTAATCAGTCAGGGGACTTATTGAAATAAGTGATTTTTAAATCACTTATTTGAGTAGCAAATTCAAAGTTTTGTCACAAATTGTGATTTTGTAGTTTTACCAAAATTTTAAACACATAGGTTTAGATAATATCTTTTCATTAGGAAACTTGAAAAAAATGAAATTTTTGCATCTTTAAAGTAGCAAGGTTTATCCCTTTGATGCTATCATTTAGCTGCAAATTCTATTTTAGTTGAAAAAATGCTATAATAATGGCTGTACATAATGAACTGATACTTTCTTCACAGATTTTTCCCAGCAGTGGGAGTATTTTTCCTGTAAAGTTCAAGGTTTCATCTTTCAGATTATGTAATAAAATTCTACTGTTCGAGATCAAAATTTCACTGTTTGGGGGTGTTGAAATTAGTGGGGGTTATTAAAATAATGATACTTAAAGAAGTGATTTTTGGGAAGGAAATTGAGGTATGATACTTAAACAAGTGATTTTTATGTCATTATTCTAGATTCAGTACAAGGTCATCACCTGAAATGACCTGGTCATCCTATCAACACAGATGTTGGTTCTGATAATTTTAGCAACATAATTAGTCCCTGGATCATTAGTATTCTATATTTAAAGCTACAATAAAATTAAATGACTTCTTCTAGTGATTAATTTGTACTACTTAAAAAGGTGATTATTAAAGAAAGACAACTCTTACTTCCATCCTTTATGGACATAATGTTACTTGAATCAGTGATTTAGAAAATCACTCATTTGAGTAAGTCCCCTGACTGTTAATAAAAAGGTGAATTTTCCTGCAACAACATAAAGAAAAAAATGAGGGGTACATATGCTAACTGTTTTGCTAGAAATAGAAGACTTAGTTTTTAAATGCTGGACATTCCAATTCTAATTTCCATTTTTTTGGCACTAAATTATGTTTTAGGGTATTCTTAATGCCGCATCATCATCAGCAAGTGGTGTTAAACACCAACAATCAATCAAATTCAAGTAAAGATTTGATGACATTAGTCATTTTTTAAGGAATTCTGGATGCTTTTCATTAAATAGCTGCATTGTGAATATAATTTTTAGTGTGCTTTTAAGATTTTTGTGAAAATATATCCTCAACTGGACAGAAAATTAGTGGAAAAAATGGCAATCTGTCAGTTAATATAAGTACTGTATTGAATGGCAATAATTTATAGATCAGTTACACAGGTACCTGTTCTTTGAACTGGTTCTAAACCTCAACATGCTCAGTGTACATATTTGTTTTCAAAAAGTGTTTGACCAATGTTTGATTGAAATTATTTGTTTATACTTCCTTGTAGATACTATTTATAGATGAAGGAGGAGAACAGTGTGAAATGATACTAAATAAATTGGTAGATCAAGGGATTGGAAAAATGGATAATACTTCTGTAGGGTAAGTCTTGGGGAGAAATGAAAAATACTTCTGTAGGGTGAGTCTTCAGGAAAAATGGAAAGTACTTCTGTAGGGTAAGTCTTCAGGAAACATGGAAAGTACATCTATAGGGTAAGTTTTCAGGAGAAATGGAAAGTACTTCTATTGGGTAAGTCTTCTGGAGAAATGAAAAGTACTTCTGTAGGGTAAGTCTTCAGGAGAAATGGAAAGTACTTCTGGTGGGTAAGTCTTCTGGAGAAATGAAAAGTACTTCTGTAGGGTAAGTCTTCAGGAGAAATGGAAAGTACTTCTGTAGGGTAAGTGTTCAGGAGAAATGGAAAGTATATCTGTAGGGTAAGTCGTCAAGATAAATGGAAAGTACTACAGTAGGGTAAGTCTTCAGTAGAAATTGAAAGTACTTCTGGTGGGTAAGTCTTCAGGAGAAATGGAAAGTAATTCTGTGTGGTAAGTGTTCAGGAGAAATGGAAAGTACATCTGTTGGGTAAGTCTTCAGTAGAAATTGAAAGTACTTCTGGTGGGTAAGTCTTCAGGAGAAATGGAAAGTAATTCTGTGTGGTAAGTGTTCAGGAGAAATGGAAAGTATTTCTGTAGGGTAAGTCTTCAGGAAAAATGGAAAGTACTTCTGGTGGGTAAGTCTTCAGGAGAAATGGAAAGTAATTCTGGTGGGTAAGTCTTCAGGAAAAATGGAAAGTACTTCTGGTGGGTAAGTCTTCAGGAGAAATGGAAAGTAATTCTGGTGGGTAAGTCTTCAGGAGAAATGGAAAGTACTTCTGTAGTTTAAGTCTTCAGGAGAAATGGAAAGTAATTCTATAGGGTAAGTTCAGGAGAAATGGAAAGTTCTTCTATAGGGTATGGATAAAATTAGGAATATTAGAAATGGAGGTTTATTACATAAAGCTGTCATCTTTTTATAACATAATATTAGACACTTGCTGTGATACGAAAAATAAAGTTGGTGAAAAAGATATTATTATGGCTGGTGAATCAAAATAAATATTGTCATTGTGATTTGACTGCTGAAAGGTTTAAATGTATCCTTTGATCCAGCAACTAGTTATATTTGTCCAAATCCAGATATAATCTGAATTGATAATCCAGATTTACTAATCAATTGTTCCTCAGATCCAAAGGAGGGGGTATACTAGCTTGGAAATGTCTGTGTTTCTGTCAATCTGTGCATACAAGTTTTATAGGAACTACACATTAGAGTTTCTAGAAATTTGGTATCTAGCTTTTTGATAGCATTTTATACTGTGTGATGCAATTTCAGATTCACCACTCATCAGCTTCCTGTTCACAGAATTCTTATATATTCTTCCACATATAAATGACAATGTATGAAAGTTTTGTTGCAGATAATCTTAACTTTTTTTTTCAGAAACTACAAATCAAGGCTTTCTGAAATTTGAAGACAAAATTCATTTAAGCATGCTATACTTTGTGAAGCTTTTTCACATCCCTTTTATCATACATCATCTTCCTGTTTACTTTAATGCCAATCTGTTTAAGAATCGGATAGTGGTGAAAACTTGACAAACAAAATCCTGCTAAGTTCACATTGATTTAAGTTCAAAATGTATAATAGTGCACGCATAAACATTCTTTTCCTTTTCCTGTTCTGGTATTTCAAGATATAAGTTGGTTGAAATGCACTAGAAATTAAGAATTAAGGGGAGCTAACTCTGTAGTTAACCAAAAGTTATGTTGAAATTACCGGAAATTACCAGACACACAGAAACGTAACACCATTTCTAAATCAGGATGAAGGTACCTTCAAAATAAGATGGTAAGTTTGGCGGCTTTTTTTCAGCCATGTTTGGAAATTCTTCTAAATTGCCTGATTACAAAGACTGGCACTTACCGGTAATACTTAGACTGGGTGTAATTAAAGAGCAATAGTGGTCAGTTCAATTTGTTTTTTGTCAGTTTAGCTGAGCTATTTTATAAAGACAAGTAAGTACTGGAAATGTAAAAAAAAATCATATTTTGTTGCTATTCTGTTAAAAATGGTTTGACAAACTGGTTTTGAATTGTATTGAAGTCTACTTTGGTCAAATTATGTTATTGAGTTTCAGTCTATATAAAAAAAGAAGATGTGGTATGATTGCCAATGAGACTACTCTCCACTAGAGACAAAATAACGTAGAAGTTAACAACTAAAGATCACTGTAAAGCCTATAAGTCTGTCTTGCTAATCTGCTGTGAATTCATTTATTTTTTCGTTGATACCAATTTTCTTGGATTATTTTATTTCACAGTTTTGCCAAAGTCTGAATACAAAATTTGTACTTCATTGAACATTTAGATTCGTGATTCACCTGTAAATCTCACTATATCCATGAAAATGGATATCCCACAAACATTAATGTATTCATATCATTTTCTTCTTCAGAATTTATCCATCGAGCATATTTAAAGGTGCAGTAACAGACAACAATGATGAGAGTGATTGTGACAGCGAAGGGTATGTACTAAGTACTAACGAATGGTCATGTGTAAATTATATGGAAATATTTGAAGCTTATTTTAGATTTAGAAAATTTGAGTTGCTCTTTATATAAATGCAAATGTTGCTGTATATCATATTTCTTTTTCATTCATTATTTATATAAATCAGGCTGTTAGTTTTCTCATTTGAATTGTTTTTCATTTGTCATTTCGGTGCCTTTAATAGCTTAGGTGTGTGGGCATTACTCATTTTTGAAGGCTGTACAGTGATCTTTAGTTGTTAATTTCTGTGTTATTTGGTCTCTTGTGTAGATTTGTCTCATTGGTAATCATACCACTCTTCTAATTGTCTCGCCTTGACGGTGTCAAAAAGCAAGACATAGGTATGCTGTTTCCAGGGGTGGCAGCGGCGTCACCAATGTATTAGTTTGTGATTAGGTCTAGTTTATGGTGAATTACTAGTGGGAGGTCAATGATATTTGGTATGCAGTTGTATTAGCATTGGCACATCTCATTTTCATGGAGATTATTTGCCCCCCCCCCCCTCAGTCATGGTCTATTGACTTTGAAACTTTTGCTTAGATTACAAGTATTAGTTTGTGATTAGGTCTAGTTCATGGTGAACCACTAGTGGTAGGTCAATGATATTTGGTATGCAGTTGTATTAGCATTGGCTCATCTCATTACCATGGAGATTTTTTGGCTTCGCCCCCTCTGAGTCATGGTCTATTGACTGAAACTTTTGCTTAGTTTACACATATTAGTTTGTGATTAGGTCAGTTCAAGGGGAACCATTAGTGGTAGGCCAATGTTAATTGGTATGCAGTTGTATAAGCACAACTCATTTCCATGGAGAATATTTGGCCCTGCACCCTCAGTCATGGTCTATTGACTTTGAACTTTTTGCTTAGTTTACAAGTATTAGTTTGTGATTAGATCAGTTTAACATGAACCGCTTATGTTAAGTCAATGATATTTATTGGCAAGTTAATGTTTGTGTTTAGGTTTGTTTGAAGGGAACAACTTTTGATAATTCAATGGTATTTGGTATGCAGTTGTATTAGCATTGGCACATCTCATTTCCATGGAGATTGTTTAGCCATGTGCCTTCAGTCATGGTTCATTGACTTTAAATATTTGCATGACTTACATGTTAAAGTATTGCTATTTTAATTTCAACATTTGCATTATCAAAATTACAAAAAGGCGAGACATATCTCTGTGTTAACAGTTTATTTTTATAAATGATCTTTATGATCCAGAATCCAGAATCCTTAAGAAGTATGTAGACTGATGATACCTTCAATTTTTAGCTTTAAAGCTTGTATTCTCTTTTGAAGACTTCTCAATGAAATACGTTCAAACAACAGTCAATCTTAATTTACCTTAATATTCACAGAAATAGATAGGTTTCGTTTGACACAATCTGAGCAAGAGTTATTTCCCTTGTCTCCATTTTTGGAAGTCTTAAGTGCACAAATTCTTTCATGAATCAGCGAAATTCAACTTGTTATACTAACAGCTAGACTTTATAAAAAGTTGTTTTCTGAACAATTTTGATTTCTTATAGCCTTGTTTGATTCATCACTATGATCTAATAAGGGTCTTTTCTCAGACTTATTTGTACGGCATGTGTCAATATGGTTAGTCAAATATGAAGAAATTCAACCATTTCCCCTCCAAAAAGGTGACCAAGGGAAATAACTCAAACTCAGATTAGGTCATATTGAAACCTATATCTATTGCATCAAATAATCACTCATTGCTGCTAATTGTTCAAGATTTTACCATAAACAATGCAGGGATTAAAGAAAAATAATACTTTATAATATTTTGTGTTTTTTAAGTTAAGTTCTGAATTAACAAATTGCTTAACATAAATAACTTTTTGAAATGTCTTGCTTAATAGAATTGTGGGTGTTAAAAGGTAAATTATTGTTCTTTAGAATTTCAATGTGTTCGAGTTTTGTTTTGATGTGTTGAATTGTTTTCTTAAACTTGTGGGTATATTTAATATTTTGGTGGCATGATCAATCATAGAGTGTTGATTTTTACTCTGTAACAATGAACGGTTAACATTGTTGTGGCATGATAAATCACAGGGAGTCTTAACTTTTACTAAGATCGGTAGCAATGTACAGTTAACATTTTGTTAGCATGATAAATCACAGAGTGTTAACTTTTACTCTGTAACAATGAACAGTTAACATTTTGATGGCATGATAAATCACAGAGTGTTAACTTTTACTCTGTAACAATGAACAGTTAACATTTTGATAACATGATAAATCACAGAGTGTTAACTTTTACTCTGTAACAATGAACTGTTAACATTTTGCTTGCATGATAAATCACAGTGTTGACTTTTACTCTGTAACAATGAACTGTTAACATTTTGGTGGCATGATAAATCACAGTGTTGACTTTTACTCTGTATCAATGAACTGTTAACATTTTGGTGGCATGATAAATCACAGTGTTGACTTTTAACTCTGTAACAATGAACTGTTAACATTTTGGTGGCATGATTAATCACAGTGATGACTTTTACTCTGTAACAATGAACTGTTAACATTTTGGTGGCATGGTAAATCACAGATGTGAAATTTTACTCTGTAGCAATGAACAGTTAACATTTTGGTGGCAGGATAAATCACAGAGTGTTTACTTTTACTTAGATTGGTAACAATTAACAGTAAATATTTTGGTGGCATGATAAATCACAGAGTGTTAACTTTTACTCGGTAACAATAAACAGTAAACATTTTTGTGGCATGATAAATCACAGAATGTTAACTTTTACTTTGTAGCAATGAACAGTTAACATTTTGGTGGCATGATAAATCACAGAGTGTTTATTTTTACTTAGATTGGTAACAATTAACAGTAAACATTTTGGTGGCATGATAAATCACAGAGTGTTAATTTTTACTCTGTAACAATGAACTGTTAACATTTTGGTGGCATGGTAAATCACAGATGTTAAATTTTACTCTGTAGCAATGAAAAGTTAACATTTTGGTGGCAGGATAAATCACAGAGTGTTTACTTTTACTTAGATTGGTAACAATTAACAGTAAACATTTTTGTGGCATGATAAATCACAGAGTGTTAACTTTTACTCGGTAACAATAAACAGTAAACATTTTGGTGGCATGATAAATCACAGTGTTGACTTTTACTCTGTAACAATGAACTGTTAACATTTTGGTGGCATGTTAAATCACAGATGTTAAATTTTACACTGCAGCAATGAACAGTTAACATTTTGGTGGCATGATAAATCACAGAGTGTTAACTTTTACTCTGTAGCAATGAACAGTTAACATTTTGTTGGCATGATAAATCACAAAGTGTTAACTTTTTTCTGTAACAATGAACAGTTAACATTTTGATGGCATGGTAAATCACAGAGTGTTAACTTTTACTCTGTAACAATGAATGGTTAACATTTTTGTAGCATGATAAATCAGTGTTAAATTTAACTCTGTAACAATGAACAGTTAACATTTATGCCAGACACTTCAAGTAAATGTATCACTGTAAATATATTGCTCTATATTTTTGCATTTGAAAGACAAAATTTATCAAATAGCAACAAAAAAGTTGTGGAAAAATTATCATAATAATAATAATTATTAGAATAAGAATTAACAACAATTATTCCTAGTGTACAAAAATCTATGTTTAGCATGGCATTCATATCATGAATAAGAATGTGGGAATGACATTTTCATGTTGTCACCATGATGATGGTATTGCCATGTAGCATGCATATTTTCTGGACTGAGCAAAGTTAAAAGAAACATTGTTGGGACAGTAAGACTTTTTCGATTAATATTTTTGGTAGAAAATATTATCTCCCCTTTATGTAACATTTTTGGGGTTAAAAATAGTTTTTAAATCTACATTTTCTGTGAACATGGTGACAATTATGATACATGTAGTTTGCATTATTCTTCAACTTTTTCAAAAGTAGCTTTTAGCTTGGTGAGTTTAAGCTTTTAGCTTGGTGAGTTTAAGCTTTAAGCTTGGTTGAGTTAAAGCTTTTGTGCAGTGAGCTAGTTTCATATATTTATTGTTTGCATTTTTCCTGGTTTTATTTAAAGGAATGATCTAAGGTAAGTTTTTGTTGGATGCAGCATGTTTAATTGTGTAGAAAAAAAAATAGTCGTAGATAGAAATATATATTAGTTATTGTATTTTATTTAATACCATATATTAGTTATTGTATTTTATTAATATAATACCATATATCAGTTATTGTATTTTATTAATATAATACCTCCTCTTTCGTATTGTTTGTATATATGTAAATATTGTATAATGGGTCTGAGTGATCAAATAAAGTTGTCAAAGTTGACTTTAGCACGAAGAAAAACCATTAAAAACATCAAACTATAGTTAAAAAAAATCATGTTGTTTGAACTAAAAGGCAGTGTATGTCATGTATGTCATCATGGTCATGTTAGTTGCACACAAAAAAAATGGGAAAAAAAGCTACTAAATTTTCTCCCTTTTATACAGTTTATACAAACATACTACTCAACTTTTGGATTTCTCAACTCAAAATTAAATCTGTTTTAGTTCAAATTTTGATTTTGCTGTATAGAGGCTTAAGTTTGAAATTGTTTTGAGAAATTAAAACAAGAATTTTTTTTGGATAGAATTTTGAAAATGATATTTTCAGTAGAAAAATATGTATTAGATTGGTGGTGTGGTCATATAATCAAAAGGTACTGGTAAAATTTTCAATGTATTTAAACACAGAGTTAGAAAAGGACAGTGGTTCAATGATCAAAACCAGTAAAACGCTTGAATGTCTGTAAAGGAAAATACTATTTTTACTAGAAAAAAATTTCCACTTATTTTTTTGTTTGGAACTTTTTAGATAAATAATCTTTAATTGTCGGGTGAAAAAATTCTTTTGGCTCTATACAGGATTATTGTCCATTGAACCAATTAGCACCTCATGTACAGTTAAATCTGTCCGACCTAACTTTAGTATGTACACAGTCAAACCTGAATTAAAGGTCACATCTATTTAGCATACACCTGTCTTGTCAGTCACCCTTTTCTTTTCTCTTTGTAGTAATATCTTTGCATTTTGAAGTTCATTTCAGAGGTCACCTCTGACATAATTTTCTCTGGTCAAGAGGGTGAACTTTATATACAGGTTTGACTGTACCTGTCTTAGCTGATCATTCTTAGTATAGAACACATTTTGATTTAATTAGTCTTCTGGGTTTGATAGATAATTTAACTGAAACCAAACTGATTGTGTAAAAAATCTTTTAACCGAGTAAGATTTGTTGAATCAACATTCACTGTTCATTCTTGGATGAATAGGGTTGAAATTTTCACTACATCAAATACACGATTGATGCTTTAAATTATGCACATCAGTACAGTGAGAAAATGAAAATAAACTGTTGAAATATTTCAGGCAATGATCATTGATTTATGGACACACTTTTTCACAACTAAGTGGCATTATTGATAGGTAAAAAGTTACCAATATACTGTAAATTAAGAAATTATTAACCCTTTTTCCTTATGACAAAAAATGAGACCAGGTTCAAACAACATTATATTTCAATGAAAAATATCTTGATTATGTTTAAGGGGTAGTCATTGGTTAAAGGAAGTAACTCTGTAAATCAATATTGTATTTGTTATAGTTAGTTTTGTCAATGCTTTTTAAGAATTCAAATAAGACAGAATAGATAATCTCTGTTCTTTAGAAGCTTAGAATATGTTTTTTAAAATAGATGAAACAAAAACACCAATGATTTTCAAGAGTTATGTCCCTTAAATACATAAATAGGTCTACCTTCTAATTAGATTTAACATTTCAGTAAACTTTTGCTCATTTGCATTTACAAATGTCCACATTAATTAATTTCCTAATTTACAGTAAACGATCGACAATGATATTGGGCTAAATTTGATTATCTAACAATATATATCATACACTATTCAGGCATGGGGCAAATTACATTGCAATGTAATGCATTATATTACAATTACTTTGACCAAACCATGCATTATATTACAATTACAATTACATGCATTTATCAAAGTAATGCATTATATTACAATTACTTTTGCAAAGTAATGCCTTGAATTACACATTACATTTGAAAATTTTATTAGTGAATAGAAAAATTAAACATCTTGAAAAACAACTAGAAGTCACAAAAGATTCTAGCATATGCAGTAACTGTTCCATGAATTGAATATAAGTATACATGTAAAAAGTCTATTTAATTTGACTTTTACAATTTTTAATTATTTTAACTTAATGTTGACTTTACTTTTATAAATATATTTTTTGTTGGTTTTTTTTAATTTTAAACGAAATATTTAATTACTGTGAATTACTTCCCTAATTATAAAATAAACATAGACCTTCATTAATGAACAATTGTCTAAATGGTGAAAATATTGATTGTTAAACAAACTAATTAGTGTTTTATAACAAAGGTTAATTATCTTTTATTTAAGCAAAACAAAGATATTCTTTGACAACAATACAGCTATGCTTTTCAAATATCAATCTTTTTATGCAGGAAAATGTATGAAATAAGATGAAATAAAGAATATATTCTAATGATTAACATTTTCTTAGTTAATCAAGAAATCTTAAATTTGGTTTAGTTAAAACTCCAACAATATGTTAAAGATGTAGTATGTGAAAAAAGTAATGACATGTAATGCCATGTAATGCATGAAATTATTCAACTTTTTGCTAAAGTAATGCATTATATTACAATTACATGTAATGCACAAATTGCTGCATTACACATTACATGCAATTACTTGGAAAAATGTAATGCATTACCATGCATTACAATTACAAATTTGCATTACCCCATGCCTGCACTATATAACTAAAAAAGAATTGCCTCTGAAGTAATTTGGCCA